TGGGGACGCAGCCCGGCCCCCCCCCGGGGAGCACCACCGAGCCGTTCCCGTTGCCCAGCCGCCAGCTCCCCCGTAGGCTGTGCACCTCCGGGCCGCCCGCGGCTGAGGCGTCGGCCGGGCCCGCCGCCGCCACGACCAGCAGCAACAACAACAGCGCGGCGGCCCGGTCCGTGGCGGCGCCCGCCCACCCCTCAGAGAGCCGGCATGGCCGCCGGTAGGAGCGAGGGAGCAGCCCGGCTGGAGAGGCGGCTCCGTTCGCCGCCATGGCCCGCGGAGACGCTGCTGCGGGAGGACGGACGAGATGGTGGGGGCAGGAACCGGTCCCTGCCGCCGTCCGGACACGTCCTCGGAGGGTCGGGGCGGCGCTTTGGGCCGTTAGAGGCCGTTGTGGGGAGCGGGGGGGGCGGGTATGGGGGGCGCGCGCCTCCTCCCGCCAACCGTTAACGGCGCCTCAGGGCCGCCTCGCTGTGGGAGGGGAAGGGAAGATGGCGCCGCTGAGGGAGGATTTCCAGTCAGCTGGAGAGCGGCTTTCCCCCCATCCTCAGGCGTCTTCCCCAACACCAAACCAGGGGTCCCCGACCGCTTCCCGCCCCCTCCCCGGGTAAAAAGGGGGTGATGGGCTTATCGCACACACACACCCCCTCAGTCCAAGCGACTTCTCAAGTAAAGAGGCACAACGTGAGGCAAGAAAGGCTTCACCGAGGAGGGCATCCAAGTTAACAGCAGAAGTTGTTAAAAAAAAAAAAAAAAAGAGAAGTGTAGGGTTTGGTTGGGTTTTTTTCTCCAAGAAATCCTAAGCAGTATAAGGTTACAAATCTTTCAGTTGTAGGACATTTAAATTAAAACTGCAGTGAAGGGGGAGGAAGGAGGAAAAGCTGTGACAACAGTGCCACAGGTAACTTTCAGTATTGGCTCCCTCAAGTAACAAGATTTTATATGGCCTCAGACTTCCACATCCTTTCTCTCATAAAATTACAGAGGCACGTAAAACCAGAACACACATCACGATCATCTCTACTTTAAAAAGTACTCTCATAAAGCAGTGCTAGTGCTGTTGCGGTCCATTTTGTTTGCAAAGGAGCAGAAGGGTCAGCTCCAAGGAAACTACCCGAAGTATGGTTTACTTACCACCCTGTAGCTTTCCTGTGAGCCCTCGCTAGCTTAATCCCTTCATTCACAGCCCAAACCCAGGGATTAAAGCAACAAATGGCTCTGTGGAAGGAGCAAAAGACAAGCAGTGGCCTGAGCTACTCTTAGGGGTGGCCAGCCATCCTGCTTCATGCTTGGTTTCCACTGAACCCTGGTGGAGAGGGCCCTAGAGCACCTCCATGAATTGGACATGTTTCACACCATGGCACAATTGCACTTCACCTAGCTGTTCCTCTAGCTGAAGCTGTGCAGAAGGTAGAAAGCAGCTGTGCAATCCACTGAATCTCATTTCACAATATAGGAAAGTGCTTCAAACTTCAAAGACTCTCATAATTGCAAGAGTGACTAGCCCACGTACCTTCCAAAGGTTGAGACAGCAGAAAACAGAAGAGTATCTAAGAGCTTTCAAGACTTGATTCCCTGTATGCTTGCTCAGCTGTAAACAGATTAGAAAGCAGTTGGTTTGCTTTTCTTCAGATACAAATTACTGTATTCCCTCACACAGCTCAACATGAACTTGAAAATGCTTAATTTCAGCAGCCACTCCATGACCTTAGTTTATAATTTGTAGCATTTTGGGATGGGTTTTGGGCTTTTTTGTTTTTGTGGGGGGGTGTGGGTGTTTATTCTTAAAGCATAGTTGACGAAATGAATGTTCCATTTGGATTTGGGTAATTGTTACTTCATTTATGAACCAGGTCAGAAACTTGGTCAAGGAGGTAATTTGCTGTCTCAGAATACACTTAAGTGAGAAGCAGAAAATCTTGCAAATTGCTTTGAAGAAATAACGCTACTAGTAGTGTCACTTACCTTCCTGTTACTATATTTTTTTTTTCCCCTCCTCTTAACAAAGGAGTCAGGTCACTGTGCATACAAAGAAAGCAAACCACTACCTGCATGTAGGTGCATGCACATGATTCTGCAACCAACCAATAGCATTCAAAGAAGCCCCAATTAACTGCAGGACTTTATTCAGTTTTTCCATTTCTGTCCTTATGTTTTCTTATTGTCTATAATTATAGACTGTAAAAGTAGAGAATAAAAAAATACATAAAGCACCTTGGGATGCTAAAGAGTTAATTACTTTAACAACATATAACACAATTCATACACCAAATCACATAAGTATAAAGTGTGACGGACACAAAAACACGCTACTGCTCCTAGTATGCAGCATAGAGCGTAAAACTGCAGACAAGAAGAGGGATATCACAGTTTTGTTTTAGCTCCTGGCTTTCACACACCTAATTCAGCACACCATAAGAATCCACCCTAGGTGCGCCTTTAAAATATTACTGAATATGGCCAACATGCCTTTATATTTTTGATCCAAATCCTTTTGAGCTGACAACCCTTCAATACAACATAAAAATGCCAGTCCTTCCGTTCATCTACCATTCCGTACCACCTACCATTCTACCAAGAAAAACTACACAATATTACTACAGGTGATTTTTTTTTCACCTGAGAGAGGAGGGGAGAGTTCTGAGACATACTGGTCCAAGGAAAGAAACTGATCTTTTTGTCACTCTGACAAAATCTCTGGTACCAAGCTCAAAAGGGATGGGTGGGACACATGCTGTTTGGCTGCAGAAGTCTGTGCAGAAATTCAGCTGTTGGAACAGTTCCACTGTATGTATTTTTAAGACTTGAGTAACCCACTTTCAATATATTGACTAACTGAAATGCAGGTCCCATTTCAGTTCATCTCCCAGCCATCTTTTAGTGAGATCAGCAAAAAAAGACTGTCATTGTAGAAGACTGAGTTACCCCAACTGGCTTTGCACGTTGTAGAATTTAGTTCAAAATTAGTATCTTCTCACCTTTCAAAGCTTAGACTGTAAAATCATTATACATTAATAGTAGGAAGCCTTGTTCTGTTTCTGCCCTCATCTTTCAATGAATAATGCTTTCAGGACATTAAAACAATTCAGTGTATTTTCCTTAAATTCAGTCATACAATACCAAAATCATTTAAACACTGTAGCAGTGCTTGAGAGATGTTGTGGGATATTATTTCTGAAGAAGCAGATTTACAGAGAATTACGTTTTAATGCTACCAAAGAACAACTGCAAGCTGGCTTTTTTTTTTTTTAATAAATCTTTTCCAGCAAGTCACATGGTAGCTTCCCAGTAAAAAGGAAACTACGTTTCAAGATGTTTACTGTACTTCCGTGTTTTCTTTGCCTTTTATTCTTTCTGCTGAAGACTGACTGGAGCAACACACACACACACAAAAACAGCCTAAAAACAATGCTGTAATTACGTATTCTGAGAACATGCTGTTTCCTTGTTCAAGGCTTATAATTAAGTTAAATCATGTCTTATTTTCATGTCCCAGTTTTAGGGTTTGTTTTTTGTTTGAGAGTATTTTTAAACAAATGACATTTTTACCGTTTAAAGATACTACAGTCTTAAAGGCTATGGTTTTATCTTTTAAAATCTTAAGACACAAAGCAAGATCTTTTGTGTGGCTTTCTTTTACTGTGCACCGTATTTAATTATTTCTGTAATGCCACACATTTAGGAGGTTACTACAATTCTTACTTTATAATGCTGCAAGCGGATATTCTTTATCAAGTAAGAAAAAAAACTGAAGGCAAACCCATGCCTTTGACTCTATTAGAATAAATTCAGAGTAGTTCCATTGAAGCTGCCCAAATTCTGCTGTGTTAATCCAGAAGTCTTTTGTTTCCAACTGCTTTGCAATCTCTACCATCATGACAGGCTGCTGCTCTTTTCTCTTTCAAATTCACGTTCAATGAATTCACGCAAAGGTTTTAAACAAACATTCTCACAGATTTGGCTGCAGTACTTCAAGATATTACTGCCCCCACCTGTCCACCCTGTACCATTCTTCTGCTGAAGGTTACCACCTCTGAAGCAAAAGAGGACTTGTGTTCACACCAGTTTTTATCAGGACTTGCTCTCTCTTTTGGTAACTGTACACCACCGCAGATACCACCACCACAGACCATTTATCAAAGATGCAAAAGAACCAAATGATCATCTCCTTTGAGAGTTTTACGTAGATGCAGCAACATTGACGCAGACATGTTGGATAAACACTGGTGTAAAACTGGTGTTTGCACGAATGTAAATACCTTCAGACAGTACAGCATCTCAACATAACTCCTGCCTTTGCAAAACAAACAACTGCTATGCAAAATAGTTACTCTCTGGGCTGGTATAAAGGCGATACGGTGCAGAGAGCCCTCCAGCTATGGATTTATAAAGGACAGGAAGTACACATTTCAGGTATTATTCTGTATTTATCTTGAATTCCATCCAAAAAGGATGTTAAAAATCAAATGAGGAAATAAATTAACATTGCTTTTAGATGAGGACACTATTAATACATCGCTAGGAGAGAACGTTGTACTAGGTTATCATGAGCAAAATACAAAACGACAATGTAAGTGACAGGCCTAAAGTTTGTTTCATCATTTTTGTAAAGTCTGTAGGTCATTGCAAGGGGATTTCCTCAGCAAACAAAATTACTCAACACTAACAATCATGAGTAATTAAAAATAAGTATGTGGAAGGGAAGCTACTGCTCCATGCAAATGCTATATGGAGAGGGAAAGGCAAAAAATAGTAATAATATTTTTTAAATTGCCTAAGCAGAAAGGCAGGTGATACCTTGAGCATACCCTTAAACTTAATGGGGTACACTGGGGCAAAGCCTGTATTTATGCCTTTACATAACACCTTGTTTTGAGATGGGCTCAAATCACACAATTTCGGTTTCCACAGCACAGACATAAAAAGCCTAAGGATCTTAAAAGCCAACATGACCAGATTTCTGAAGATAAGTCCTTTAGAAGGTGGAATTCCCATAGCTTTTATTCTTTTCAATTTATAAACAATTGTGAAACAAACCTAGTCTATTTATAAGATTATGTAACACTGACCACTGTCATTTACCCTTTGTCTCATGAGCAAAGTCACTGCCTTAAGACTAAGTAAGGTGCTGCCCAAGCTCCCCGTGAACTCTCATTAAAACTTACTTAAAACATACCTAGAATCAGAACCGATTCTCTGGCACTTACAGGGAATCAGTAGGGCATATGGGGACATTAGGAAACAGCTTGCTTAGCCTTTCTTAAAGGTCTAAAACTAGACGGTCACCCGTGACCACAACACAACGTATGATTCGTCCCTAAATGCCTAAAATTAAATCTTTCAAGACACAGGTACCACAGGTAACAAACTGCTTCTCTCATGACCGAGTCTTACTAACGCTGTGTACTTCTCGTGGCATTTAGCCAGCTGAGTGCAGGACATACCAAACATTACACTAAATATGAAACAACCTGCTGTTTTAATGAGTGTTTTCTGTGCAGGTGAGTATTATGAGAATGTCGACAAAAATTTATAGCTGATAAATCGGATGAGTAAACTTAAATGGATTTGGAGTAGCCCAAATAGCTGGGAGCTGCATTTCTTCTCCCAGCTCAGTCACTCCAGACAAACCACCGGGGCAAGTCACGACCTCCCTTTCTCAAACCTTTAGTGGGGGTAAGGCACCTGGCTTCAGCTCTAGGACAGACTCTGTCCATTCATTTCTGCAAAAGTGACCCTAATGCAAGCACCACGGAATATTCAGAATAACTTTACTGGAAACCGTGGGTACTCAAGAGACATGGTTTTTCCCTCCTGAAAGATTAATGATTATTCCGGAACCTACAGGAATTGCCAAAATTCTTAATCGATGAAGCCCCCACTGAATCGACTCGAGCCCCACTTACACAACAGCATAAGCCAAGACCCTGCTGACATTCAAGAAAATCTTCACTTGTCTAAAGGATACCAGTGCAAACCCTTTATGTGATGGAACTACATCCTCATGCAGTCCAGGATGCTGCATGCCATATCCCTCACTGCACTGGTACAAATGTCCCAGGACTAAGAGTTACAGAAATTGACTCATGCATATTTATCAAGACAACATGCTTTAGTATGGGCTCTTATTTTTTTTTCCAAATGTACATAACCAGCACTAAAAATACTACTTTAAGCATACCCATCTATCAAAAAAACACATTACATGTTTGTTTCATTGTAATAAAAAGGAAAGACTACCACAGCGAACAAAGAGAATGAGGAGTACTACAATGATCACAGAGTATCTCAAGTTGGAAGGGGCCCATAAGGACCATCAAGACCAACTCTCTACTCCTCGCAGGACTACCCAAAACTAAACCATATAACTAAATGTCCAGACACTCCTTGAACTCTGACATGCTTGGTGCCATGACCGCTTCCCTGGGGAGCCCGTTCCAGTGACCAACCACCCTCTCAGTGAAGAGCCTTCTCCTAATGTCCAATCTGAACTTCCTCTGACACAGCTTCATTTAATTTCCTGATGTCCTGCCAGTTTCATACTGCCTGACTACAAATTCCCTTTTTTTTTTTTTGGGTGTTAGTCAAAATTTTAGTATTTGGATACTTGCACTGGAAGCAGGGAAGGCAGGCAGTTTTATGGCTAGAAACATAGTAAAGAGCTTTAGTAATGTGAGAAGCTTGACTCTTCAGCTCAGTCCTTGATGAAAGAAGGACCCCAACCTCTTCAGGGAACGGCTTCGTTAAAATATTATTCCCTCTCATTTTGTTTACAATTAAATTCTCGGCCCAGTGGATCCAAATAATCTGGTGCTCAAATTATTGCCTGTATCTTTGATAGCTGCTACGAGCGTCACAGTTCCATGGAAGAGCTCTACTTTCTCACCACTAGGACTGCAGATGGGCACAAAGGCAATGGCAGCCTGTAAGAAAGGATCTAAAACACACAAGAAATCACTGCCTGGAATCCTCCAAGATTGTTTCAGCAAGTGCAAAGACCCTCAGCTAGTCTAAATTGGTATAGAGCTTCCGAAAGGAGCAAAGCTACACTGTAACATCAATTAACGCTTTATATGTTTAAATATTCAGCATGCATTTTGATGTCTATAAAATATTTCACAGAAGTGCCACAATATTCTGAAGGTATTTAATCTTTTAATTATTAGTGAGTTAAGAAGTGAACAGCCATCTGAGTTTTTGGCATTTTTTACATACTAGCAAAATAAACAGCATTCAGCAAACAATCATTTCCAAAGGTATGGCTCTCAGTTAAAAAGGCTTCTTCACCACAGGAAGCTGTCATGACTCCAAAAGGTTATCCAGCACTTACAAGACTTAAGATGCAAAATCATCTTGGAAACTCATCTGTCAACAAAGTTCCATTATGTTAATTTTCTCAGCATTTTTTGAATACAGTTTATCAGCAGTGGCCATATCGACAAATACAGTTTTGAAGGCCTAAATTCCCTGAGGGATTTCAATCACACCAAAAAGATACTTAAAACTATTTAAAAATAAGAACGTACATAACTTAGTCTAACGAAGTGGTTCAAAAATTGACAAATAGCAGTTTTTCCTCAATATTCACTTTGGAGTCCTCCACACCTGGTCACAGCCATGTGGGTTTACTTGGGAGGACAGAAGGGTACAACTAAGCTTCCTTCTGCCATCTCCTGCTCTGACAGTGAACAGTGGGCAGCTGAACGCTGACACGAGAAAGCCATTGCATGACTAGAAAGAGTCACTCATTGTTCAGGGAACATCTTGGCGGCAATTTGAACTTGGAGATGTTTCAAGACCTCTTGTGTTTTGTTGTGTTCCCTTAATACCGAGGATGCTGATCCGCTGTTTATCCTTCCAGCTTCCCGGCAATGACCCATAATCTTGTAACCACAAACTATGATTACTGCTACTTCCTCCTAGTGCAACTCTTCTAGAAGAGCTTATCAGTTGGCTGCAGCTGGCTCAGAAGGTACAGCTGGGCTGCCCTCTCCACTGTCCACACCCTAAATTATTCATGATGTATGGATGTGTCAGCATATGCTACACGGGCACTTCTCTTTAAAATTATGGAACACTAACAACATTGAGCTCTTCCCCTTCACTCTTCGTCCCCACATATCTGCACTCTAGATTCCTGACACACAGCAGCTGTTTCACCTATACCTATCTAACCTAAAAAAACCTTAAGTTCCTAAACCCAGTTTTTCATTATTTTTACAAGCCCTCTTCCCAACTAGAGCCATTGCAGCAATTAATAGGGTAAAAAGACTATTTTCTAAATTACTCCTTCCGTCTTTTTCATGCTTTGCACCTTAAGAGGCATTACTTGCCCTAGCAATTGCAGAAAACACTGGTTCATAAAGAAGTACTCGGAGTCCCTGGGCACTGCCTAGCTAAGTTACATAAAAGAGATTCCCCACCAGATCAGGGGAAGGCAGCAAAAATCAGCCCTACCTAGCAGGGTAGGTGTATGTGCAAGAAATGGGCAAAAAGAAGTTCAGGTCCCAAAAGGGTGGAGACAAACATTGCAGGGCAGCTGTGGGAAGGAAAAAAAGGTTAGGAGAGCTGAATGGTCAACTCCAACCTATTTCTATATTGGGTCTCCTGCCCTGAGAACCAGAGATGTTCTATTCCCCGTAAAGCACAGCACAATGCACGAGGCCACTAAGATGCTGGATCAGCCATGTTAAAAAACAGAGCTGAATGGTCAACTCCAACCTATTTCTATATTGGGTCTCCTGCCCTGAGAACCAGAGATGTTCTAGCTTCAGTTAGTCAACAAATGACAACTTCTCTTTTCATATTCCTTTTTTTTTTTCCCCAATTCCTTTTTTCCCCTTCCTCCATTCTCCGTAAAACACAGCATAATGCACGAGGCCGCTAAGATGCTGGATCAGCCATGTTAAAAAACAGCTGTTCCAAGGAAAAAGTTTTACATCTGAAAATTCCAAGGTAACTGGTCAATGGCTTTCCACAAGCCTGTCTTTTCATGGTTTTATTCTGAGATGTTGGAATATTTTTCTACATCAGTTTTATCAGTATTGGAAATAATATTACATGCTTCAGGGTTACCTGCATTTTCTTAAAACTTGAGTCTTCTCATATAATTTATGGCTAATCCAAACATAATGCACTTTTACTTCTCTCCCACATTGTAAGTAAAAAATTAAGGCTATGAGAATTCACATCCTTTGCACTGAGACAGTAATTCTGAGTGTGAAGTGCAGCACATTTGAAGTAGGAGTGGAAAAAAGCCTAGCTAAATTTAGTAACAGCCACCTACCTACCTCTGCTCCAATTCAATTGCCTGTGATTCTATGATGATACCTTGAAGTGCAGCTTTCAATGAATTTGGAATGGATTCTCAGGAAACATAAATTGTTATGTAAACAAGACTTAGAGATACCCTCATGAAACACAACTCAAACTGTAAAAAAACAAGGAGCAGTTAGTACATCAGCAATAGAAACAAGGGGTCACAATTAATTTACACAACAAAGTTCTACCTCTTACGCTGGTTAGACTTGCTACCTGCACTTGTCCTTTGGCAGCTTGCTATAGCATTACTACTACATTAAAAAAATACCATAATAGTTTGCAAAATAAGCTTATGCAAAGCCACGTTCATTCTCTTGCAGAATCACACAGTGGCTTAATACATGCTAATGGCATGCTGCCTTTAAAAGCTTATGTGGTAAGGTTTTCTATTCATTATAGCATCGCTGAAGCAAGAAAGCCTCTGCCAAACACCACGCATCTGGCTTGCGCCTATTTTAATTGTACTGGCTAATGTATTTCTATATACCTTTCAAAAAATAAAAATAAAAATCCCAAACCTCTCAGGGGTTAGTACTGTGGGTTCTAACAGAAGTCTCCTGAAGCTTTAAGGAATGAAAACTTCACTGGGCTTCACTGTAAGGAGAAAAACTGAAGACAGGAAGAACATACAAAAGCTGAGCAAAACACACAAATCAAAAAAAGTAAAATTTGTACTAAGTTTGTCAAGGCACATGTCAATTAGAATAGACAGATACACTTGGGAGGTGCAAGACTTTAAGGGACTTTAAGAGATTGAACAACACACAGTCCCAAATACTAAATTCAATTCTCCAGCCAGCACTAATCCATTCTATGAAAGGATACATCAGTGCCACGTTCCAGAAGTTGTCTTGTTCTCCACTAAGTTTGTTACCTGAGAACTCCTACAGTCACTAACGGTGATAGTCTCCTCAATGCTCTTTCAAGTACAGAGACAAAATCTAGTACCTTATGAAGAGATCTGGACCTCCTACTCCAATCAGAACATCCCAAACCTTGCAATAAGAAAAAAGAATAAAATAATGGTTACATTGAGTAGATCCTGCAGTTTCTAAGGTATCTGTGAACTAACTTTTCTGCATTCACTGTCAGAGCAGGATTAATACCATGGCAAAGAATCTGTAAACCTTGTTTGAGCAGTCTGTGAACTAACTTTTCCGCATTCACTGTCAGAGCAGGATTATACCGTGGCAAAGAATCTGTAAACCTTGTTTGAGCAAGGGCATCCTTCACCAAAAAACTAGTATCTTGACACTGAACATCGGTCTTTGCCAGAGCTATCATACATCCTTGCTCTTTACCTTCACAAATTTGTCAGGAGGAAAGGACTCACACAAAGCCCTGTACATGAGGTTGCAAAAGGCAGTTCCCCACTTAGATGCCAAGAGGATCTGAGCTGCATCCTCAGTAAAAAGGTGTGTTCCAGAAAATTCCCTTTAAAAAAATAAAAACAGAAAAAGACAACAGTACTCGTGACTATATGCATGTCATATCTTTTCAGACTTGCATCAAATACTGTCAGATAAGATGTGCTGTGGTTTACCTGGCCAGAGGGGGGAAAAAAAATAGGCTTGATTTAGAAACAAGCATAGGCTTCTCTTTTCCTCAGCATAGATGGAACTATCACATTCCGTGCCTATCCATGTTTTCTGAGCCAAGAACATCACCAGTTAGGCAGCTCTTCAGGAACACAGGAAACAGCTTAATTTGTGCATTCCCTCTAACGAATCGTGACATCACATCTGAGTGAGTAAACTTGAGTCAGAATTCCCATCCCAGATAAACGTAAAGGCATTTCCAAATTCTGTCCCCACAACTCTAGTACACCAAAGCAGCTGGAGCAACACCAGCCACCCGGCTCTCCAGCTAACATTCCTCCCATGGGGACAAAGTAGCATCACCATCTTCTCAGCAACTGATCACACTCTGGACACGTTAAGTCTGCGATGGAACAATATATAGTTAATATGAAAACGAATAAAGCTGAGGCAAAAGCCACAATTACCTAGCTGATTTGCAAAGCCCAGCATTCCTAAGTACAGAGCTCGAGTACTTCTGCTTGAAGCTCCTGAAGGGGAACGAATCTCAACAACAGTCATGTAGAGAGAGCAGCCTGCTCTCCCAGAGTCAATCAAGTACAAGCCCAGATCAAAGATCAGATCAAAGCTGTTGAAAAACAACATGTTCTGATCAACATTGTATGTCTCCTGGTGAAGCTTCCTCCCATGACAACCTAAAAACCATCACTGTTTGAAAAAGAGACTGAATTCTCACAGCCATTTCCAACAGACAGACAAAAACCACTACTTTGGGCAAACCGGGATGTTTACCAGACATGCTTAAAAAAATTCTCAAGTATTAATTTATGCAGAGGTGTCCTCCCAAATTCACCATTTCATTTCTGGCACTTTCAACTGTGAAGATTACACTTGTCACTACTAACCTAACCGAGACAGACCGATTGCTGCTCTAGAAATAGTTACAGCAGTTACTGCTGCTCATCTGGAATCTACTAAACTCTTTCCCCCACAACTGATTCACGTTAAACAAACCATGTGTCACCTCGCTGCAGTTCAAACCAGCTGACAACTTTGAACTACCCCTGCAGAAGACTGAGTGCTCACTTCTAAATGTCAGGAGCCCAAAGTTACTGCAGTATTAACACAGAACAGTTAAATCGCCATTTATGGGCACTGGTTAAACAACCATAAACACCAATTTATGAAGCATTCTATACGCCTGCAAAAGCTCGTGTCTGCACTCCAAACTGCTCTTCCTAAGGCTTCATCTGAATTGCTGTTTTTCAACAGGCTAACCTGGACACTTAAAAATTACAATTCATCAGATATCTTATTCCAGATTATTTTGAAGCCAGCTGGTTTTACAGGAGACTGTGTGAATTGGCAGCAATGCATTTTCACTTCACGTTAACATGGGCAGCTGGTCTTTATCTCGTGTGTCTCCTGTACCTTCTCAGTTCTGTTTCCTGCACTACCTGGCATTCTCTGCATTGGTCCCATGCTGTTGCCATAATTGCAACTACCTCTTAAATATGCAAAAAACTGCTTACTGAGATGATAATCCTACAGTTCTCCAGTTTATGCCCATTTTATATTTATGTTGAAGGTATGCCATTTTAACCAGTACCTTCAATGACACGGAGAACTGAACAGCACAAAGCAAGTTATTCCTACAATTAGCAGTTTATTGGTTTTTAGGCTATAAGGAATTAGCATAATCTACGCTCTAATGAAATAACCTTCATACCTTAAAATCCTTTATTGAACATGGATTATTCATCTCATTCCACTGTTCTATTGCTAATTTGTTTCATTTAGCTCTAAGAGTTGGCTAAGCTGTTTTCATGTATAAAACTACACACAAACCAGGGAAACCAAATTTAGATTTTTTTTGAACACCTATAAACATAGCAAAAAATCTTCACCTGAACTGCAACTTCTACTAGGAAGTTGTATTAGGAACTTGCAGACTGAAGATTTCTATTGAATCACTAGCCACATCTCATGGACCTATTTTATCTGCTTCAGACTATAATGCCTGTAAAAAACTTTTTATAACAATGAATCTGCAGCCAGCTCTGGAGTCCTCCAGAAGGAGGGACATGGATCTATTGGAGAAGGTGCATCAGGGGACCACAAAGATGCTCAGAGAGCTGGAGCATCTCTGCTATGAGGACAGGCTGAGAGGGTTGGGGTTGTTCAGCCTGAAGAGAAGGCTCCGGGGAGACCTTATTGCAGCCTTCCAGTACCTGAAGGGAGCTACAGGAGAGATGGGGAGGGACTCTTTGTCAGGGAGTGGAGAGATAGGACAAGGGGTAACAGTTTTAAAATGAAAAAGGGGAGATTTAGATTAGATATTAGGAAGACATTCTTTAGTGAATGACAGTGGGACAGCACTTACAATCTTTATATAAAAACTATTTACAGTGTAACTGAGATCAATGCTTTTACACACACATGTAAAAATGTGTTTATATTCATTTTTTCAACCAATAGAGAAGACGCTGTGTGCATCAGCAGACAGGGAAAGAAAAAAATAAAAACATCCCTAGACAATGCTACAGATCAAGCTTTTTCTGCATCCTTGTGTGCATCAGCAGACAGGGAAAGAAAAAAAATAAAGACATCCCTAGATAATGCTACAGATCAAGCTTTTTCTGCATCCTGAAAAGGCTTGAAAGTGGGCTTAAAACTACCGAAAAATTTTCAAGTGAAATTCAACCGACAAGAATCATGTTGTCAAATTCAAATCCCACTTAAACACAGCAAGAAATCCTAAAAAAAAAAATATTCCAGAAACACCAGCAAAGCGTAAACTTCTTTGTTACACGTTTGTTAAATTTAAGTGCCTTGGCTTAACACTGTTCTCTATAAATACCCTCCAAACAAAAGCCATTTAAACAATAAACTAACAACAAACAAAAAAAGATTTTGTTCAATCCAAGACTTTTAGGATGGAGCTGGCTCCTGTGTTCTGAAGCTATTATTATCTTTATCATCCTGAAATAAGTCTCTTAAGAGATCTGGATGGGAAAACTCACTTCAGTGCTTCCCAAAACCTTCAGTTTTCACATGAAGTTCAAAAAAATGAAAGTCATTTTTCCCCCTCCATATGTTTCATAGCAATCAAAATTTACTATGTACTTTTTAGATAATCTGTGGGTTTGGTAGGTAGATTAGTCAGAGGTAATCACTAATTCAGCTTCTTGTTTTGGTAAAAGTTCTTAAATTCTTTCAACTTAGTTCATGTTAACCAGCTCCTCCTCTCCCCCCCAGCAACAGCAAGCCAAACAGCACTTCCACAGGAAGCCTGCACAAGGCACTACAGAGACTGCTTCAAGGACTAAACACCTGCCATTTCCCACTTCACAAAGATTTTAAGTCTCAGCATGACCTCCAGCATGAATATATAATATCTACGATTCACCCATCCTTCTTTCATCAAAATACAAATTACAGAAAATTATCACAGACATACTATTACAGGTGTATATACACAACTACAGCAGTGCAAACAAGATTTCCATCTTCCATATAATATTCTACTATTTTCTCCTTCCCTGACCCTCCCTCATCCACACTGCCTTCTAATTACAGAAAATTATCACAAACACACTATTACAGGTGTATATACACAACTATAGCAGTGCAAACAAGATTTCTATCTTCCATATAATATTCTACTATCTTCTCCTTCCCTGACCCTCCCTCATCCACACCTGAGTTTTATAAAGCCTGGTGCCTTACATCTCACAAGACATCTTTTTAGTTCACCATGTAACTGATTTCAGTGACTAAGGGTCCAAGACAAAATAATAACCATCAAATTAACATTATTACCACAAAGTTGAAAGCAACATTTGCACACTTAGAAATATAAACTTTTACCTCAGTTGTAACGCTACTGGCAGCTGTAATTTAATTATTTCCATTTTCCAGCGAAACGGTGAAAGCAAAAACTCTTTGGTTAGCAGAGCAGAATTACTGTATGGACTAAAACTTCATTAACAAATGAACATCATTTCAGTGAGGCATGCGCTGTTAAGAGAGCCCTGGTTTCTACATTTCAAGCCAACTAGACTTTAAAATAAGTTCACTTCCATAGTTTAGAACCAGAACAAACCATGTCCAAACTACATATTCAAATTTTTATAAAAATTAAGGTTTAACATTTATTTTACATCTAGCTTTCCACATCCATGTGGGGACAAGGAATCAGAATGTACATAACTATAAGCAGTGCAAAAGTGGTGCCAGTGCGAAGTCACAGATGCACAATAAACTGATAGTACAAGACTAGAGAAAATGAAGCTATGGATGTTAAGTATGGAAACAAAAAAAAAATCAAACAAGGAAAAATATGAAGGAAGAGGGCAGGAAAGAGGACGTTTAATAATGCCCTTGTTGCTGCAAAGATAAGCTAATGGCACAAGACAATGTTTCTTGTAGAACAAAAAAAATCCAATAGCAATGAGTCTTTATTCACGTTTAGTCACCTGACATGAGGAAAGTGTCTGTTGCATTAAAATAGTCATCAATGTAAATGGCAGCATGGCTGAACAAGTCCTTTTCAATGGTAACGAACATCCCACATAGTAAAGTCACTTCAACACAGCCTCATGACAATTCCCACATCAAAACAGTACTTTATTTCTTTTCTTTTTTTTTTTTGCCTCATCATTACTCCCACATTAAGATCTTTCAGCTGTCAAGTGTACAAGGTGAAGAAAAAGGTTCTCAGTCAGCAAACACAGGTGCATCAGGAAGTATCTCCACAAATACACCACTTCAGGTCTGCTGGGTCCCAAGTCCATCCTTGAACGCTGGGCTCCCAGCACCACGTGTAGCACACTACTAAGGCTACACTACTATGTTAGCTTATTAATTCTGCATACATCAGGCCGAACAATGTGTCAACCTGCAACAGACTGAGCATTAGAACTGAAAATGGCAAAAAGATTCACTCTATTGAACTTTACATCATTATTTGATGTTAAACAATGAGGCAAATCCCAACAGTATATACAAAAACCAGCTTTGCTTTTACAAAAGATTTTGTTTCCCATATTGATTAATCCAGGCAGCTAACTCATTGGTTTATGCAACTTTATTGAAGAAAATAAATCAATTACTAGTAGAGCTATTAGTTGATCACTCATCCATTGACAACTTGCATCATTTATTCAGTGCTATATTAAACAGTGTTTTGGAAGACAGATTAACTAATAGCTCCAAGCCTCCTAACAAAATTTAAATGAATTACAAAAATGTTCTTAGACCCTATTTTGGAATACAAGGGATGTTTGACTTCCAATTTCCATTCTCTGTAAAACAAGAACTGGTCATTCCTTTATTGACATGCATAAGATACATCACATTTTCTGTTCTGCTGATGCTATAGATTCAGTACCAATTCTCCAGACACATCAGTTATGAGCAAAAGCATATAATAAAAACCTCAGTTCTCTAACACTGGAAGGTTTGGAACAAGATGGATGTTGCTACAGCAATGTTACTTCTTTGATGGGAGAAAACTGAACATCCATCTCCCCTCCCCCCTTCAGGTGATATCTTCAGTATCTGTTAGAGCAGTGAGGAATGTTTGTTTGTTTTTAATCTCATAACCAAGATAGAATGAAGACATTGGCCACATAATACACATGCTCCATTAAAAAAAATTCTGAATCTTGGGCAATTGTTCTTGTGTAACTACTTTACAGATTCTAAAAGCAGTTATTGTCCAAAGCTGGAAGAACTAAAGTCTTCTCAGATGAGCATGTGCATGAATGGAAGGAGGTAAACAAAAAAATAAAAAAGATGAGGTCTGATAGGGGAGCAGCCGGATAAGAAAATCAAAAAAGGAACAGTAATTTAAAGTTTATTCCAGCTATAATGCAGGTTATTCTGACTTTAAGGTAGCATCACATGGCATACTTCTGAGTCCATTCCCGAGATATTCTGTTGTACCTGCAAACAAAAACAGGAATTGAATTAGCATCAACATGAAAAAAGACAATTTCCTAAACAGTTAAGTATCACTTTATTCCAATCTCCCTGTTCTCTTCACACTAAGAGAAGTCTCTTCCTATACCAAGATATACTTGAACTGAGAAAACGGAACAAATACCTCCCCAGATTAACTAGGATATTCTCTAATTTATATGAAATACTTCAAATTCAAGACAAGCAGATTTGCCAGAAGTCTGTTCTGAAAAATTACTGGAGGGGAAGGAATAGAGACCACTTGGGGTGGGAGAGGCTGGGGGAGTGTTTTGTTTAAATATTGTCCTTCGGTAAAGATTACAGAGTATCACATGCCATAAGTAAAGATTACTGGGTTAATAATATAATTGGATACAGAATGTCAAATTTTCCATTTTAGAGTAAAACAGCAGTAAGCATTTCTCCACACTTAATATTCTCTTTCCATTATTTTGCTCAAACAATTTTTAAAAAGGACATTAAAAGAATATTAAAGTACACTACTTGCACAGGAATTGAGCTGACAATTAGTTTATACTTAACTTCATGCTTGTCAGTAAGAAGTTAATTTTCAACTATACAAGCAGAACACAATCCTCATATATTTTCCTACTTCATATGTAGCAGACAGACACTGCTAAATAATAAAATGCTGAAGTTTGGATTGTCTAAATTGACCCCATCTCGATACAGGGCATCACTTTGAAATTCTGACAAAATCTAGGTAAATACTTACCAAAACAAGTTGACAAGCTGGCTCAAAACTTGATAATTTTTTTTTTAATTTTTTTTTTGGCCATGCAAGAGCAGTATCTGTGAGAAATAGTGACTAGCCAATACATTTCACACTAACCACAGATCAAGCTGTTAAATATCCAAGTTCAGTAACTGGTGCATCCATTATCTGTTAGTTAATCCAGTGCCTTAGAGCATGCAGCACTCAAGTGCTGACAAGTTTCCATTTTGTTAAATGCACCATCATGTGCAGATATTCTTACCCTACAGCATAGCGTATTTCTCTGTCCACTCTCTTGCTAACCTATTGTACCTAATTGGACAAGTATATTTAGCATTAATATATATATATGTAAAATACAAAGTTCACTTCATAGAATTCTATCTGTGGAAAATGTTAAAAACACATTAAAAAAAAAGTTATTTCAACACAGATAGGAAA